ATTTGTCGATTTGACATGGATTGATCCTTAGGTACACAGTTTTGATTTATCAAGGTTTAGAAAAAAGTTGATTCCAATTTTACACGATTTTATTAGATTTAGCACGAATAAAAAAGCCCCTCAATCGAAATTTTAATGAAAATTTTTTTTTGGGTGATAAAATAATTGTGGCGATATAGCGGCGAAAATAAAAAATTAAGGTATATTCCAAAGCGAATCTATAAAATGTGGTGCTACCGGCGAATTTATATTTTCGCTACGATTGTACTGATTGTTAAAAAGATGTGTTCGTTGTAAATTGTTGTAATACGAATTCGCCTTGTTTACAACAAACACATAATGTTGACAATCTGTAAAACTGCAGCGAAAATCTAATTCGCCAGTACCACCACCTTGTATAGATTCGTCTTGGCATCATCACTGCCGCATTTTCACCGTTGGCTTCGTGGGATCTGTCAAAATATTGTGAATGTTACTGCCATCCCTAAATCGGCGCCTCAAGCGCCAAGCAACTGTCAAAACTCCTCATGCCTATACAATTTGTATGAAGCATCCCACAATAACGCGGCCCTTACGCCGAGCAAATGGAATTTTCAATTTTGACAGGGCGTTACGTTTTGAAGTTGGTTGCAGAAGACGGAAAGAAAGAGAAATGACAAAAAGGTGCAAGGGGAAATGAAAATAAAAACGAGAGGACTTGAGAAAACGTCAAAAATTACGCCGCGTTGATTTGGGGATAGCGCGCGCTGACACTCGTTGACAAATGGAAAACGCAACGCTTAGCGCTCAAATTTAGGGACGGCAGTTATTTACATTCGCTTCGCCAAAGACATTCGCTTCACAACTCATAAAACCGTAAACTTTTCGAAATCTGTTTAGGGAATTTTCCTTTCTAATTTGTTTTCATAGCAGGTTAGGTATGTCTATTTTTGTATTGTTGTCCATAAAAACTTAATAATATATATTTTTTTTGTATGAATAAATTATTTTAATTAACCTTTTTTCTATGTAATTCAGGTCCTTTTTTACACAGTTTTTCTTATACGCGGTTTTGTCTGGAACGTATAAAGACAGAATAAAGTATATATCACCTTTAAATATAAAAAAATTCTTTATTGTGAGGTATATACCACTTGTTTTATTCCCTTTCAAACATCGCCCCGCTGATATAGAAAAACTCTACATTGACTAACTCTGTGGTCATTAAATGCTCATAATAAGCAACTCAAAGATCAACTAAAGCGTTCCATATGTTTTGCGTAATTTCCAAAAGCATAGATATTTGGTACGTCTTACCCATGTTTGTTGCCACTTAAACATAGCATCTGTGAATATAATTGGAAACTTTGGTTAATTCGAGTAACTTGTACGCCGGCACACTTGCATACTCGTAGTTTGTACTTCACCCATAAACTTGTGGGAAATCGGCAATCAGCAAGTCACTTGTGCCCCAGCAATATTTCCTTGGCACAAATCACTTTCAATGCAGAAGGGACATTTAATATTGGCAGCGTTATTAACCTTCGGCACCATAAGCCTACTAATTAATGCCCAAGCGGCTAGTGGACAACAAGACAGCTGCCAGCCATTGCCAAGCAATTAACTATGCAAGACGTTTAAACTCGAAAGTTCTGCAACTGCCAACCTATACTCTTCAGCTTGCTGAAGCCTGCAAACTTAAAACTTTCTTTGGAATACTAAGTATGCACCCATGCGGATTTTTTCCTTGTTTTATAGTTATTTGTAAAGTCATGTTCTTCCATTCACGCATACCTACATACTCGCTAACTATAAGCCAATCGAATAACATGCCATCTACTTACTAACCAATTTACCTGTGCCTTGATGTGAACAAATGAATTTACAAATTTGTCATGCAACAACTTACCACAGTTGGGTTTGCCTCGGGTGCGTGTGTTGGCGAATTCGACTCCATGCTTGTCCACACACCAGCAAACGCCGACGGAGTTGTGACACTGGGTAGGCTTATAGAAGCCCTGAACATCGCAATCCGGTGCATAGGCGCCTTAAGTACGACAAAGTAGGCGATAGAGGAATTGACAAGGGAAGCATTAAACCGTAATTAGATTTGTATGTTAAAGTTATTGCGGAAGTTGAAAGTGGCTTTTTGATTAGATATATAAAATGTATAAAGCACAAGCGGATAAAAAAATGTTGTAATTAAGATTAACAACTAAAAAGCATTAAAGTGTGCTTAGAAGTAAAAGGAAAATATATTTGAGAAAGTAATATAAGTAAATACAAGTATATATATGTGTAAGTAGTATAACTCGAAAATTTTGAAAAAAATTTAATAAATTCAATTTAAAATTAATGATAATTCGGGTTGTACATTAAATATTTATATATTACTAAGCGTATTCGAAAGCGTCTTAAAATCTCTATGCATTTATGTACATAGTTCTGAAAAGTGAAAGCGCCATAATGCAGTGTAAAGTGCAAAAAAGTTTAAGCTTCAAAACAATTGTTTAAAAATTTTACTAAATTTATTTTCAGTGCGTGCGTATTATGTATGTAGTGTAGTTAGTGGTATTTCAACAAGAGTTTTCATATATGCATATACATACCTACATATCTATATAAAATATAAGTTTTTTTTGCCTTTTATCCTACACTAATTGAAAGAAGGAAATCAAGGTGATATAAATATTCGATCTGGGGTCTGTAACACAAAGTTTATAATTGCAACAAGTCTACAAGTTATTATACTATTTTGTACACTTGTAACTATCAGCGAAATATTTATTCTACACTTGTAAATGTACCTTCTACAAGCATTTGTAGATGCATTTCGATTTGCGCTTTGATATACAAATTTTGAATAGCCTTGATTTTGCCATTTACAAGCTAGAGCTCTTGTTAAAAATCGACTATCCGGCTACTCGGTTAGTCGACTAGTCGATTAGCAACTTTTTTGTCGGTTGATAGTCGAATTGCAATAATTCGATTAATTGCGCGCATTCGACTAACAGTTCACTATCGAGTAGACTAACCGAAATGATTCGAATAGTGATCGTTTTTCACCAGAAATTCGACTAGTTGTTTGTGAGCGGTTAGTTGAAAAAGACGAAAAGACACGGTTAGTCGATTATTTTTTGAAGCCAAAATAAAAAAATTTATACATATATGACTAAAAATGCATATTATATTTACGCTAAAAATTAATTTAAAAACAATATTAACAAAAAAGTTTTGATGGGGATTTTAGTAGCGTAATGTCTTGTAACGTGACGACAGATAAAAAAGCAGGACAAATTTTTGCATTTTGGAACTTGGAAAATTAACCTCAAATATTTCAAATACTACTTCAAATAGTGTTGATCAAGTCCGAGAGTTTTCAAATCTTGACGTTTTCGTTTAATTTTATAACATTTTGTCATGCCAAGCCGGATTGGAATGGCCATATATGTCTGCACCTTTCCTCAGCCATATTAAAAACTATTTTTATTATAAAGTACAATATATTATTAATAGCATTAACTTTGTAATGCACCTTTGCGATTCGATACGATACAAGGGTTCTGGTACTCGATTCCAAAAAATATCGTTTGAAAACTATCGCTTAAAAAGTATCGGTACCGAATGGAACAAATATTGATATGGTATCGTATCGAAATTCCTTGTCCCTATTAACAAGAGTTCTATTACGAGCATTTGTTTTCGGCGGACATATAGCACTTGCGGTGAAAAATAACACATATATTATTAACTAAATACGCCTGCAGAGAAAACAATGTAGAAAACAGTTACATTAGTTACAAAAAGTGAAAGAAAATAAAGAAATTCTAAGAAACCATAGCATCGAATTATTTTACTACCGATTACTACCGATGGGCCTATATCTTCAAGCACAGTTTCACACTGTTCTCGATTCAGTCTGAACCTGAGAAAGTACTCATTCTCTCTCGATTCCGATACACTGTAGGAACATTTTCGTTTTCACTTTCGGAATCACTTGACCACATATCGACAGAAAAATGGTATGCTAACGGCAAAATACATACTTCACTAAACTGAATCTACTCAGCGTTCGAGATAGGTAGAATATTGTTTACAATTGTTGAATAATCCGTAACACAACTGAACAAGTGTGTTCGCTGTGTTACGGAAATAGACTAAAATTTTACAAAGAGTTCAGTAATTACAAGTGCGCCACTTACAACTACAAGTTGCTTTGTATTACAAAATATCTACACTTGTTTAACTGTTTTGGCATAGGAGAGGACTTTTTCACAAAATCCTTTAAGAAACTATTATTATTTATAAAAAAAAACTCAATTTTTGGAGGTATTTTCAAATCGGTCCAGCTAACTTTAATCTTAATAATTTTCCGAAATATTTTGGTCGAACAAAATTTGCAGAAGAAATTATACAAACGGGCCAATACAAACTGAAATCACTTGTTGAAATACCTTTTAATCTGTTTTTTTTTTTTCAAATATTTACTACTAGCTAAGTATTTACTACTAGCCAGTGTGTGTGTGTGTGTGTGTGTCTTCGTTTAGTTTGGCGATTTCTACTCTCTTGTCTTTTTCATTTTCTCTATGTGTAGCAGTTAGAAAACGAGGAATTTAAAGAAATAAATCATTTAAAGAAATAAAAGTCCACCTGTACCTATCTCACCTGCAAAGTCGCCAGCGATTCTTCGTCGAACCGCGGCGCATGGGCGATCGGTCTTCTCGAAGCAACGGCACCATTCGCGCGTATTAATCGAATTGTCCTGATCAAGATCGCAAGTATCGATGAATGGTTTAATGCAGCGCTCATTCTGATCATGTTCCAAATCGTACATTTCCTGTAGCGACAAATAGCCATCGTTGTTCAAATCCAAATGACCAAACATCCATTTAGCTTCGGTCTTGCAAGCGGGTGGGAAATGCGCCTTCGATTTTTGGCTATGCTGACGGCGTTTCTTGCTGTCAGCCATTATGACAGAAAACCAATCAAGCAGGCGATTGCCGATAGCGGTCAGCTGTTGTGGTTTACATTCGGGCGATTTGGATGGGAAACCTGTTGGGAGAAGGTGAAATGAGAGATTAAGCGATTAAAAGTGCTTCGCTGGTTGTGTTAGGAGTGCTTATACATACATACATACATTTGTATGTCATGTAAGTGTTTACATACATATGTGTGTCGAGTTGAAAAGGTCACAATTAATGCGAGAAATAATGCAAATTGTAGTATTGATTGCTGGTGATTGAGTGTTGTGTGGTGCTCTACACATCTATACGCAGGCACAGACATACATATATATATGTGTGTATTTACATATATATATACATGCAGACTTAAGTACATATATGTTTATGTATGTACCTATAAGTTTGCCTCTGATTGTGATTACGTACCATTGTTCAGGCTATTTTTGTTGTATTTTTGTGGTTTCTCGATAACCTCATTATAACCACGAATTTTATGTTTATCCTCTGGATATTGGCTGTCCTGCAATGAAAAGGCATAGGAAAATTTAAATCAATTAAATTTACGAAAAATGTTCTATAGATTATTTCAATAGTAATACTTGTGGACATGGTGAAATCATTAAACATTTATTGAGAACATATTTTAATTATCTTAAGCACGAATCAACACTTAAAATATTATCAAATATAAATAAGTAAAAAGCATGTAGCAAACTTTTCAAACGTATTGCGACTTAATTGATTGGCATATTATAGGGATTTAACCTAACTAGCTGGACGCGGTTGCGCGAGACTTCGCTACGAGCGTATTTGGTTAACTGTTATTCGAATAATTTACCGACTTTGACGGATGCGGTGTATTTATAAATATACATTATAATTTTTTTGAATCTCAATTATTATTATTTTTTTAAATATAGTTCATTCAGGAACATAAGCTTAAAAGTTTTTGCATAACTCGCTAAAATTCAGTAAATTTAAAAAAATTATCAGAATCTTTAGACAATTTTTGTACATATATGCAGGCTATAAACCCGTTAAATTTCGGTATTAAAAAGTTGTGTTTATTGTAATTGTTGTATTTAGAAAATAAAATTTTGCTTAAAATCCTCCGAAACAGTTCTTAAAAGTTTCTTTTCTTCTGACAACTAGAGGAATTTACTGCAAAACAAGTTTACGGCCATAAATACCCATATGTATATTGTTGTGTATCGTTCAGGAAAAAGATAACGCGTTTCTGGTATATTTACACTAATCGCAATTTAAATGAATAAATAAAAAAATTTGTCAAAATATAACCTCTCAAATTCCATAAAGAAACGATGTAGAATAAGTTTATCCACAACGTCAACAATGGCATGCTATTCAAAATGTGAATATAGAGCTATGCGTGATAATGACTGCTTGTCAGAGAAATTCCTTGCCACTAACTCTCGGAAAGTTATCGAAACAATTGTGTATGTACTTATGTACTATATGTACAATGGAATAGAGACCACAAGTGCTGCGGTAAACGCAAAAGAGGTAAAGGAACAAGGACACGCAGAGCAGCTGTTGCAAAGGGAGGCAAATACTTTCCAATTGCTTATACTATTAGAGCCACTCCTACGAAATTCATATTTACATGCTCATTTGCACTGTAAGGGCATGCATTGTGCTAACTTGTACAACTACCATGGAAAATTACAGCTCAATATAAGACATCGCTTGTGCTAGTGTGGCCCAACAACAGCAGCAGAAGTAGCAACTATTCGAGAAATTTCATTGTACATATATACATATATGTAAGTATATACATGTAAGTATATATAGACCCTTTACTGAAAAACTTAACCAGTATACACAAATTCCAATTCATGAATTATTAAGGATGAAAGTCATACCAGTTCGTTATGTACTCTAACTATACCAGTTCCTCGTAAAAAAGTAAACTATTTGGTGGAAATTCGACTTCTACTAAGCGGCGGCCTACTAGTTCGACGATTGCCAAAGTCAAAACTAAAATGCACTTAATTGCTTTCCTCACAAATGTCGGCTATGGCTTCGAGTGAAGACTACCGATTCTGGTCCTTTCAAGCATACGCATATTTGCTAAAGGCCAGTATGCAGCTCTCAAGAATAGCAAAAACTTTACATAAAATGATCTACAAGAAATGGCTAAGAATTTTTCTTGCGTAAAATTTTCTTGAGGCAGTACGCAGTTCTTAAGAAATTCGCTTCACTTTCTACTACGGTTTTCTAAAGCTTTTTTGTGAAAAAAGAGCTCAAGGCAACCCATGCTTGCAACAGAAATATATGCCCGTTCCATTATTTCTTGAGGAAATAGTGAGGCAACATGCTGGTGAAGTATCAGATGTCAAAATTCCTTGGACACACACACACATATACACACGAAAAAATGGCATTTTTTTTCTTGACCGTTTTCTTGAGAGCTGCATACTGGCCTTAAGCACCAAATAGTAACAAGAAATGTGATAAGTGCCAAAGAATACAAAAGCTTTTCATTGGAAATCTACATAAATCCAAAATGACGAATTTAGAACTGGTTCGGAACTATCAAAAAGTGATTAGGGAAAAAGGGGAATTTTACTTTGTAGGATATCGCAATGTTGCTAGATTATAAAAAAAAAATTGACGCGTTGTACACACGGTTCTAAATTGGCTAGAACTAAACCAGTTCGGCACCAATGTACCGGATACCTATTAAAGTGGTCCAAAAATGTATGTAAAAAATAAGGTCGGATTTTTAATGCCGCCACCCCCTAGGATCGTTATATACCGAAAGAAATATACCCATATTTTTATACCCGAGCGCACTTGTGCACAAGGG